CACTCATCTCTCAGCCTGTAGCTCTTCCCTCCACAGCAGTTCTTTTCAAAACAACTCTTCATTGCTCAAACAACTTTGAATGTAACGACAACAGGAAACACCCAGAAACATCCATGCCTTAACTGGAGAACAAGAAACCAGAGACTGCATGGAGTCTCCTGAATCACCCTTCTTTGTTCCCTCTAAACATTTTTATATTCCTGATGGCCTCATCGTTAAGAGTCTAATGTTATCTCAACCACAGGCTTTCCAACGCCCATGGCCACATTCCCAAATTTCCCCCTCTTTATTAATATCAACCATTTTCTCGACACGAATTACCACTCCATACGTAACAGTTATAAATCTTTCTAGAATCTTTGATCCATTTAACACATTAATTTCTAGGCTGCGCACCTGTAACACCTGTGTATTTCATGCATGCTAGCTTGCTTTTGCAGACAGTCACTATCGCCGGCAATCCAAAGAACCTGGTTATCTGTTGCTGTAATAAACCACACTTGATTGCACTGTCATAGCTCTCATTAAGTGCAACTAGGGTAAGGGTGGTTATACGTTATTGGTGAATCTGTGACCGTGATAGTTCAGTGTTCTGAATCCAAGCAGGACCCCAGACGGTTAACACGTTATTGGTGAATATCTGACCGGACCCCAGATGGTTAACGCGTTATTGGTGTATCTGACAGGTTCGGTACCCTGAATCCGACCGGTCCCATAACGGTTAATCAGCTACACCCCTTAATGCGACACTAACGAAGGAGCACGAAAGAGACGCATGTCCTTGCCTCTGGAGAGGAGGTTCCTTGCACAGCCAGTGCAAGGAACACAAAAATCAGTTGCGCCAGACTAACATGTGGTTGTATCTGAGCTTGGAGGCTGCAACCCTCTTCAGACTTCCAGATCTAGAGGAACACTTTGGCTGCAGCCTAAAAGCCACGTGTACAGGAGCTCCCCCAAGCCAGCCAATCTTCTTCCCATGACCTGCCAGGAAACAGCAAGGTAGGCATGTACCCAAATCAAAACCCAAACCTTTGGACCAGTCCTTGACCTGAATAGTGAGTGACGATCCGGATCCTGGCATTCATACGTGATAGCTTATACGCAGTGGAAGTAAACAGTGTAGTCAGAGGTCACGGGGCTAGATTTTGAAAAGTCCTGCATAAAGAAGACATCTCAGAAAAGCAGATTTAAATACCATTAATGCCAAGAAAAGTAACTCTGATTGCTATATTCTTTATCTGTCATGACTAGACAGATGAAAATCTATGAGAACAATTTTGCCTTTAAGGCCGTTTACTTTTTTTCTTTGATGTCTTTTCTTTCGTTTGTTTGTTTGTCTGTTTATTTATTTATTTATTTAAACAGGCTCTGTACTACTTGTCCTCACAGAAAGACTAACAGTAATATGACCCTTGTGCACTTTTTGTAGTTAATTCATTAGGTCAGCTCTAACCACTAAGCCCCTTGTCAGGTTATTTCTAGTAGTGACAAGGAGCAATTAAGCTTAAAAGACTGAAGCCAGGTAGATGAGCCTATTCCAGGAGGTCTCTTGGCTCCACCCTTGTGAAGTGAAACCTGCCAGGTGTGGATCATTTGACTTCTGCTATATAGGAAGCCTGAGGACTTGTGGGGAATTGCCTTCCTGGTGGGGGGAGTTTGAGGCTCAGGTTCTCTAGGGTGCTTTTCTGCTGTTGTGGTGGAGCGGATTCAGTGTTCCTCGGTGGGCTGCTATTTCTTCACGTTTTCTCCCATCTCTGTGAAACAGTTTTAGTGACTCTGTGAGCTAGCTACGTTGTTGGTGCCCTCTCAGTACGGTGAGACCCTGGTTACGCGAAGTCACTGTGAAGCAGCGTGGAAGTGACTCAAGTTCAGGAGCTGGCAGGTAAGTGTTCCTGGGTTCTACGGTTCTTTAATGTCGAGGAGTTTGAGTACTTCCTTCACCTTGTCTGTTTTCAGTGAAATTACTTCCGTGGCTTCTAAGCTCCCTTTCCAGCCCTTCCAAATATAATGAGAATGAAAGCTAAAAAGAAAGCCCCACCAACTCAGAAGCTCAAGTGCTTACAGGTAAGCATGACTTTGAAGAATGTTCTTAACTATTTGTTAGGATTCGACAACAGGCAGTGTGGAAAAAGGTGCCTTAATGTGCACTCAGATTATGCCTTGCAGTGAGTAGAAACCCATGGGGAAAGGTACAGGTGGAGCTATCATAACTTTCACTAAGTGGAAGTTGCGAGACTGTGCTGTTCCTAAAAGAAATGCCACTTTCACAACATGTAAGTCAAAAGCAGTATGAAGAAAGCCTCTCCTCTTCCCTGCAGGCCTGCGTCTCGACTGTGGAGAAAGATTTGGAATAGGTCCACCAGTGAGCAGAGACTATCTTTCTCCCAGGCTGTACAAGCCAGTGTCTGAGGTATTGGGGAAAGCGTCCTTCTGTGAAAGGAAGAGAGCAGAGCGGGACCACGGCCCGTGCCACCCTGCGGTTCTACCAGCGTGACCATGCAGAGATGGTGAGAGAAAAGGATGGAAAATCGAAGCTGCTGTTAAAGGCATGGCTACCTGAGTTGTAAATAAAAAAAAAAAAAAAAAGAGGGAAAAGAGGTTCTCTGAGAATCGTGCTACTGCAAGGTCCCCAGATCTGGTCCCCAGATCTGCAGGCTGGCTGCGCAGCAAGAGAAGGGAGGGGTCAGACTCAGGGTAGGTCACCCAAACTAGCCAAAGCTGTATTTCATACCATCTGACGTCATGCTAAACAATATATAGGATTGGCTAGCCTGGGGAGGTGTGCCGGACTGCACGGGTTTAGGCTGGGCATCGGTCAGCGGGTGGTGAGCAATTGCGTTGCGCATCACTTGTTTTTACACAGTATTAGTAGTGTTGTTGTGTCTTAATAAACTCTCTTTATCTCAACTCACGGGCTTCACTTTCCCGTTTCTCTCCCCCATCCCAGAGAGGGAGGGGGGATGTTGAGCAAATGGCTATGTGGTGTTTTGCTGCCAGCCAGGTTAAACCACAACAGTCCATTCTGGCGCCCAACGTGGGGCACAAAGTTTTGAGATAATAACAGATCTGACCAGAGTGTGTTAAACTAAAATTGTTATAAGTATTAGACTTGCTTAATAGTTAGTTGTCATAATACTGATTGCTTTTATCCCAAGTCTGCTGTGCCTGTTTTCCAAATTGAGCATTATAGCACATTATTTTCCGTATGTGCTCTCTGTCATGTTGTTTATCCTCTCTGGGCCCTGGTTTAAGATCATTATGGTACTGTGTGTTGTAGCAGTGGCTTATGAGACGATGAAATATCTGGTCATGACTCTAACTTGGTATTTGTACTCAGTGATGTCGTCAACTCTATACTCTGGAAACCATATCTCGGAAACTATTAGCAATTATACCTATCGCCTTTTTTCATCATGGAGTCAGTCTGTGGCGGGGAAAGGGGAAGATACTTTTTCATACTCGTTCACTCTCCCTTTCTCCTTCACCACCCTCTAATCCTCCAAGCTAGTTACAATAGTTCTCCAAGATATTGAATATCCTTGGGATACTCAGACCAGCATGTTCTTGTTGTTATGCCTCCTGAATATGCTTCAGGTTTTGCTTGAAGTTAAACAACTATTTAGGAATCTCATCCAGATATCTGCCTGGAGGCAGGATAGTTGCGAGTGGCAGGGAGTATGGGAGGATATGGGCAGGCATCTAGTGCAGCGGGCACCTCCAGTGTTCTGGAAATTCACCCCCGAACAACTGCAAAATCCTAAAAAACTGATAGAATGCTTGAAAAAAAGGTGTCTTGACTCTGGCAGTTCCAAAGTAACACAAATCATTGTAACGTGCTGGGGCCTGGCTCATGCCTATCGAGCTGTACAAACCAGTTTCTGAGGTATTGGGGAAAGTGTCCTTCTGTGAAAGGAAGAGAGCAGAGCGGGACCACGGCCCGTGCCACCCTGTGGTTCTACCAGCGTGACCAGCAGAGACGGTGAGAGCAAAGTAAGAGAAAATTGAAGCTGCTGTTAAAGGCATGGCTACCTGAGTTGGGAATAAAAATAATGGGGGGGGGAAAGGGGTTCTCTGAGAATCATGCTACTGCAAGGTCCCCCAATGTGGGGTGCAGGGCATTGCTGGGCAAACAGGGCATGTGCGTGTCAAGAAGGCTGTGGCGCAGCAATTAGCACAGGTAGGGGGCTCAGGAAGGGCAGATCATTCCCCCCGCCCATACAAACACCTCCTTAACAACAGCTGTTAGCTAGGTGATAACGGTCTCCACCAGGCACGGTGCGCTCTCCAGGAAGTCGGTACACACCCCGACCGACTACCCGTTAAAAAATGCTGCAGTTCAGGTCACCGGATGCAGAGTGTCCTGAGCCGTCCCTGCCATCAGCGGGAGGCAGAGAGACTGCGTGCGTGAGGTGCGAGCAGGTGGATGACCTGTCTGCATGGTGGCGGAGCTCAGGAGGATGTGGAGAGGCTGATGATAGGATATCATGGGAGGGGTTAGGTGTGTATCTCTTCCCTACGGAGCCAACTGTGTGCCTAGCTATGTGTTAACCACCATTGGAAAGTCATCAAGTAGAATAACGCACCAGGTGAACTACGCACAAGGGATCTGGGCCCTGTTATCTGACATTGGCATGACATGGACTGGGCTGCTTGATCACTTTGTGTCACTGGAGCATGAGTTGATTCGATCTTGAAATGGCTTAAGCCTATAGCAACAATTGTAGCCTTCAAGATATCTCAGTTTGGGTCACTTGGTTTAAATGCTGTGCTTGGCAAACCAAGGCTACATGGATTTTTTCTTAGTTTTTTTCATTCTTTATAGGGATATAGTTGGAACTTCGATTTTCTGCCAATATGAGGATTCAAGCAAAAATATTGTTGGTGCCTAGCAACGGGCTTCATGTGGAGGAATCGTTAAGTGAGGGCGGGACATGTGAATGTTGAGTAGTTGGGAGACAATGGGCTGGTGAAGCACCGTACTCA